ACTTTCGCCCCAGGCGGGACTAGAACCCGCACCTCTCGCTTTCCGGGCAAGTGCGCTACCAGTTACGCTACCGGGGCACCATTTCATTCCCAACTCAGCTTTTCATGGTATACGTACCATAGCTTGTCAGCACTCAACCCAGCTACAACCATTATTGTGAAACATTCACAAAAAAATTAACAAACGAAAACAAGTCAAAATCCACTGCTAAAGCTTTCAGCCTCGCGGTCATTGCCGATATCGGCTAACCGGCTCAACACGTTATACGTGTGAGTGCTGACAAGCTATGGTACGTATACCATGAAAAGCTGAGTTGGAATGAAATGGTGCCCCGGTAGCGTAACTGGTAGCGCACTTGCCCGGAAAGCGAGAGGTGCGGGTTCTAGTCCCGCCTGGGGCGAAAGTTTTGTTCACAACCCAGCATTCTTGTGAAACATTCGCAAGGCGAACTGCGGCCAAAAACAGCAGTTAACAAACAAAAACAAGTCGAAATTCGGCTGCTATTAGTCAGCTGTGCTTTATCAAACTTCTATTGAAGCTTGTGGTGATCAGGCTCAGTCGCAATCCTATCTATGGATATGGTTTTCAAAAAATAACGTGCGATTTTGATGTCAATGGCAAAAACGGCCTTGGCTAAAAAATCTACGACAAAGTACAACCATTGTGACGCTGGAAGCTTGTAGACGGGTCAAAACTTACTGAATGCTCGTCGAAATATTAACATGAAATGGAAAGAAATTGAAAGAATAGAAAATGGCAACGATGGCACGATTGCATCCCTTACGGTCGGCTCGTCACACAGCAAAATTTTGCAAAACTCAAGGGAACATTTTTGCTCCTTGGGTGGGAAATCCATCCATCCCTACCTAATCATGAACATAACGCCTTATGTTTACAGTTCGAAAAATGACCAGGAATAAGTGAACCACCTGATATCGTACTTATGATACACTGGGGGCTCCTAAGGAAGTAACTCTCTTACACACACGCATATGTTTCACCGCTAACCCGTCTTTATCCCACGAAGTTGGCTACAGCGCGACCACAGACTCTATCCATTTGCAATGACTCACTATTCTCATCAGAAGACGAAGCTATGTAAATTCTTCCTTATCGTTATCGTACCTTTTTCAGTTGTTTATTTCCACTTTAACATCATCATGGTCACTGTTGCCACAATTCTCACATCGATTGTGATGCGAGTTCACTCAAAGGTGCGTCATTGTTGTTTTTTTCAGCTATTTTTGATCGCCACAGTGCATCACTGCATAGTATGCAGTAGTTCTTCATGGTGAGGCAAAACTACTGATCCACCTTATATGGTTTTTTTTAGAATCCTATTGTAGAATTTCCTGCCTGATTCTCTCCTGATATGTTGCCTGAATATGCTACTACTAATATGTAGCACTGATTACGAGTGCTTAGGCCTTGCGAAGCGCGCGCAACAATGAGCCCCCAACAGAGCGCTGTACGAAGCCGTTCTTGAGGATTTTTCAATTTCTCAAATTTTGTTGAAACAGCGTTCAAAATCGGTATTTGTTTGAATTATGGGTGTGTCTTTACAGTAGAGAGGATTACGGGGCAACATAGCAAAGGCGCTTCTGGACACTGATCGAGACTGGTCCAGGAGCGGTGCAGGAGCAGACTCCTGACTTCATCAGTTACGACGAATGGTACTCCAGTCCGTCGGTTTAGAGTTTAAACTTCTCCGGTGATATATTTCAAGTACGGACTGCCCTGAAATGTTTGCTCTACCAAATACTCAAATTTTAAACCCTCTGTCATAACGGCGCTTTTGAAATTCTGGGACGAGATGAAAAATGGCCACGTTTCATATGTATGCGCTTGCCAATTGTCTGCAGAACTGAGTAAAAGGTGGAGGCGTCCATTTTGACCTGTCGATATGTTTTGGATGTTGGTCTTTCCACGAATAATATTCGCGGCTAGTATTAATCTCTAAAAGTTAATCTCGAACTTAAATCAAAATATTGATGCATCGGTAGTTTTGCTCCACTGTGTATATTGGACACTAAGTGAATATAGAGTATTTCGAGCAAACTGGAACCAAGTCATGAGAAGACAATTTACCGTGTACTAGATAGCGAGAGCATTCCCTTTCATGATAGCGTTGATCCCGCATTCTCGCACAGCTTGTGCTGTTCTTGTCAGGCGTCATCACCTTCTCCTGTCCAACGCATTTTTCCTGTTGGTTTTTACTCCATAAGATCCTCCTTGGTAACATGCTTTCATCTGCTCTTTTAGCTCCTTATGGTCGCTTGCCCAGTGCTCTTTTTATCGAGTGATTCATCATGTGGCCATCTCAGCATGTGACCGTACTATCTAAATCGCTGACGTCGTATCTTACGCAGAATAGGGCCAGCGTCGTGTTCCTGATTCTATTGCCCAGCCAGAATTCCACGTTGGAGTGAAGCTACCTTCCATGGTTTTGGCTTACGGGCCAGAATTCACTGCCGCGGAGCCTTATTACTAACCGCTTTTCCTCTGGGATAGGAGGTCCTGATGCACCTCTGATCGCAGAGCCTACCAATGAGTTTCCTCCATTTCGTCAATGCCTCGCTTACATAGGCTTCTACAGCCTCGTACACATCACCATCATTGGTTAGACCGCTTCCGAGGTATTAGAATTCTCTATTCTTCTCATTCTTCCATCACGGCGGTTCACTACCAATTCTGTTTCACTCGAATCAGTAACTTCATCTTCTTCACGCTTCGCTAACGCTAATTCTGTTCCAATAGTTCACGCATGGCACTTTGCATCGTATCCTTGGGCTCTTCTCTGCTATCCGCCATCGGGGCAATATTGTCGGCATAGGGAGTGGTCCCAAGTGGTCCATGAGCCCCTTGAAGGCAAGATTCAGGATTAGAATTATGAGTTAATTCCACTCAAATGTGAAAGTAGGGGTAGGTAGTGGACCGCCAGTGAGAAAAAAGAAAAAAATCGTGAAATGCACAGGAAATACGAGCCTTTTGCTCTACGCTGCGGAGAAGTTCAAAAGGCCGGCAGGGAGATGAGAGATAATGTGAGCGCGGAGAGCGTAGAGAAGTCCGAGTAGAGAGAGCATAGCAGATCAACATTGCGACGCAGACAAGATATCGAGCGGTGGGCGGAGCGTGTCGCAACAGGTGGAGCGTGTCAAAGTTCTTAGCGCCTAGCGTCTAAGTAACGCTTTTCGAAGTAGGGAAGTGACGCGACCTCTACACTTGCGTACCTAGCGCTTCTAGCCACCGTAAAGGCTCATTAAGTGGGTCTGAGCCCGAACTTTGCCTTTAACCACGATGTCCAGGGCTGGGACTCAGGGTTGATCATCGGAGTGCTCACCTTGACGAAACCTCTTTTTTAAGCCGTAAGAGGTGTGAATTGCTGCTTTGCTCCATCGTACATGTCCTTTCACCGAAGAGATCAGGATGTTCTGGCACATTCGTTCCCTGAGCGCTCTCCATAGCACTGCTCGCGGTAGCCGGTCGAACGCCTTCTCCAGGTCGAGGAAGGCTAGGTAGCAGGGTCGGCGCTTTTCTCGATACTTCTCCATCACTTGCCTGCGATGAAGATGGCATCCGTTGTAGACCTTTCAGGCATGAATCCGAAGTGTCCCTGAAAATCGTTACCAGATCCCATATCTAAAGTTCGATCAAGCTCGTACAGTTTTATGCTATACGTGGTCAACTAGTGGTTTAGGACGTTGATTGGACACTTTATGCTGTGCTCCAAAGACTTTCCATAGCCTAATCGGCACTACATGCGGACCTGCCGCCTTCCCAAGGTTTCATCTTCCCAAGTGCTCCGTCGAACCTCATCCTCTGTCCAGAGTGCGATGGGACCAGCTGTGGCCTCTGCCCGTGAGTTGTTCTTGTGGGGGAACTCCTCGTTCAGAAGTCCAGTGGAGTAGGTACTCTTCCTTCTTCTTTACGTGAACTGGCTTTTTCAAAATTCTCTGTCGCTGCTCTCTACACTCTTAACCGTTCCTATGCCTTGAGTAGCCCTATGTCGGGCTTAACCAGCTGGCCTCTCTATTAGACTCTTGGAAAAAAACGCCCATTCCCGTATTTTTTGCCTTTCACAGCCGCCTCGCCGGGTGCTCTTCCCCCGGATTACGAAGCAGCGAG